ACAAATAATTTCACACCTACCACACAATAATTCAACACCTACCACACCTACCACACCTACCACACCTACCACACCTACCACACCTACCACACCTACCACACCTACCACACCTACCACACCTACCACACCTACCACACCTACCACACCTACCACACCTACCACACCTACCACACCTACTACACAATAATTTCATACCTACCACATATTCTAGAATAAGCTTATAGAAATTAAACTTTATTTAAACAACTAAAACCAAGTTTATATTTCAACACCGCAAGCATTCAACTGTGGAAACTTGAAACTGGCGTCAAGATAGGGATTGTTTGACATCTGGATAAATCCACTTTGGGGACTGCAAAACTTTTTATTTGGGTAAATCTCGTTCCATACCTGTTAATATTTGAGATTGGATTTATTGAGTTTAATCACGATTGTGAAATCTGATCGTCGAAGAAAGAATGTTTCAAGGTCCATTGGTTCGATGAGCGTTAAATCGGGTGACTTAATAAATATAAAAATTAATTAAATATGACCTGATTAACGAAATAAAAAAATAACAAATTAAAAATACAAATATTTTTTGGCTCGATTAAATTAATAATACAAATATTTTTGGGCTCGATTTGTAACGAGCAGAACACAAATAAATATTTGTTCGTTCGTGTTCGACATTTTTAGATATGTTAATAAATAAGATTTCAATGGTTTGCATGTAAATATTTCTAAAAATATAAAAAATACAAGTTCGCGTGTTAGATATGTAAATAAATAAGATTTGAGTGGTATGCACATAAATATTCCTAAGAATATAAAAAAAATACAAATTTAAGTGTAAATAAATAAGATTTGAGTGGTATGCACGTAAATATTCCTAAAAATCCACATATAATCCCATAAAGTTTCTACTAACTCCCATTAGTATCACATCCGTAGTTTTGCCTTCAGAAATTCTACTTATCTTTATTAAATGAAATTTTTCAAAAAAAATTTGCTTATCTCAAAATTCTAAATCGATTTTGTAAATAAATATTCACAGACAGCTAAAATAATAAAAATAATAATAAATAAATTGTATATATATATATTGAGCTGTCA